TGGTTCATTTGGCTGTTTATGTTTCGAATATATTAAGTTGCGTCGCGGGCGTTTATTACTAACTGATAAGTGAAATGTTATGTTATTATATATTATTTATTTAGTTACTATATATTATAGGTTATTTATTGTGTACCGTAATAAGACTATATATATGTCGTGGATTGATGGCGCCATAGTGCAACAAGTAGCACCATCTAACAATTAGCTTTGCGAATCAATAATATCGTTACAGGAAACGCAAGCGCGCCCTACCGCTTGTACACGATCGTCGGTAGAGGGGATGCAGCGAGGGCTAGAGAAGGAACCCAGTGTTGTGGCATGTGGCAGTCGAGTTCGGACAGCTGGAGCGGACGCTCGCTACCGACGCACGTGTTTATTTCTCGTGTACAACCACTAGTCTAAATACATTTATTTTGATTTAAATAATCTTTCGTTCGTGTGCCCACATTTACGTAAAACCATGTCGCAGCGTGAAGAAAACCCGATGCTTCGCATCTCAGCCACCCATGATGCGACATCAGAAGTGGGATAAAGTACCTGTTATCGTCCACATATAACCTTCGAATACGCGCCTCGCGTAATTTTTTGATGTTAAATGTCTTAATGAAGTTTTTTTTGTCCTATTTACGACTTTGACGTATTATTAAAGTGTAGAGTAAAAGTTTAAAGTGAATTGTTATAAGCCAAAAGTTAAAAATGTCTCTAAATCTTTTTGTTCGATTCATAATAAAAAGTACCCGCAAGTACTTTCATTATTTCTTAACGTACCCAAATATGATAACAAATGTCGAAAAAAATGTTGGAGGTATTCTAAATGAGTTATAGTTTGCACTAAGTGGAAATTTAACTTGCTCGAGTTATGTTATAATTTGATAAACGAGATGTGATTTACATGGGCTAGTTTTAAAGTTCGAAGTGTTTAAACGATGTACCGAAAAAAAAGAACATGTTTACTTTAACGTGCTATGACTTAAATAAAACACTAAGTAGTATTTTTGTGTTCTAATGTGATAAGTGTTATAGTTTACTCCGAGTATTACGTAGTCAACAAAATTGGGATTTGATGTTGTCGGTTTAGTGGAAGGTGTGGTGCTGTTGCGCTCCCTCTTGAGTGGAAGTATGCCTATCGGCTTATGACACCGCGGACACATTATTTGTCGCTGCTACCGATCACCATTCGATGCCAGTTGATTGCGAAAAATGCCGGATGACCAAAGTATAATTGACGAAATTGCAGTAGAGCAAATTACTTCTGACATTGAAGAGAGTATTTAAGTTTACAAGAGAATCGGACCGTACCAGAGGAGGTCGTGTAGTCGCAGCTCAGTATTTGGTGTCCTGGAAAGGCGAATGGTGTCCCGAGAGTAGTGCTGCCATTGCTTGAAAAAGAAAGTTCATTACTGAATCATTTTAATGTTTTCCTTAATGTGTTACAGTAGCACCTGTGATGTGATTACACGTGCGCGAGCGTGAGGCGAGTGTGTGCCTTGCTAGTCGGAGCGGACAGCCAGGTCTAGCTGTACCATGGCCTAGTTTCGGCAGACGGGTATGCGCGTACACGCAGGCGCCATCCCGGAGCGCGCATATGCTGTACATGGCGGTGCCTCTGAAGTCTTACACTGTGTGTGCCCGGAAGTCGTACACTATGTGTGCGTGAAAGTGTTATACTCTCTATACGCGGAAGTAGTGTTCTCTGAAGATGCATCAGGATTTGTCCTGGCAGGCGCTGTCCTGGTTCACGTTTTAACGTGGTTCACGTGGTTAACATGAGATCTCGCAAGTTCATATATGTGTGAGATACTTCGTATGGAGATGTATCCATACTTGTGAAAGCGAAGTGCTTTATTATAGTCGGCGGTATGAGAGCGTATTTCTATTTGAGGAACTCGTATGCGTGATACGCAGCTGTGTATGTTATCCTGATAATTAACAACTTATTTGTCACGCAGATCACGATGACGACAACCCCGATGATGCCTGTGAACCCTCAGGTGCTCCTGCTGCTCCTGTTGACGCTTCGAGTGCGTGGTGCGGCGCAGCGTCTCGCTGGCCCTGGTGCGGCGCGACGACTTGCTGTGCTGGCGCTTGCCTCATAACAGCTACCTATGGCGTGTGCTGTGTTCATTTAGCCAGTTGAGCTTGCCTCATGGCAGCTAATTATTGTGTGAGCTGTTGCTTTATTACCCGCGTGCGCTAGCCTTATGCCTGCCGTAGCGGCGAGCAGTGAGCGATGTGTTTACGTCTGCTACAGCGGTGTGCTGATTAATACTGGTGAGTCGTACCCAATTTATTACGATTCTGGTGCCAAATGAGAGAGCCTCATCAAAGATTGTGTTGCGCCAAAGTTTAGTGGCAAAAGTGTAAAAAATATTGTAAATTAAACTGAAATCGGTCATGTTAGTGTGGAAAGTACCCTACAAATACCCCCATGATCAGGTGAGAAAGATCTCCGATCACCAAGTTACTTGAGAATTAGATGTCATTGTAGATGACAGCGGTAGTGAGATCAAATCTGATAAAGAATGGCTTGTATACTCATACTCCAAAACTTTAGACCGCACCTCATGAGTAACATGTGGCGATGGGTCTGTAGGGAATCGTTGCTGCGATTTCTGTCTGTGTTGGTGCTCAGAACGCTTCATGTGTTGTAGCACATATTGCGCTAGAGTTTCGAGAGTCGTTGGTGCGATTCTTGACTGTGTTGGAGTACAGCGCCCCTCATGTGTTGTTGCATATTTGGCGGCAGATATGTAGAGAATCGTTGGTGCGATTCTGGCATATGTGGCGGCGGATGTGTAAAGAGTCGTTGATGCGATTCTGGCCTGTATTGGTGCGCGGCGCCCCTCACCTGTTGTAGTATGTTTGGCGGCGGATATGTGGCGAATCGTTGGTGCGATTCTGGCATATGTGAAGGCAGATATGTAAAGAATCGTTGGTGCGATTCTGCCCTGTGTTGATGCACAGAGCCCCTCATGTGTTGTAGCATGTTTGGCGGCAGATATTTAGGGAATCCTTGATGTGATTCTGGCATATGTGACGGCAGATATGTAAAGAATCGTTGGTGCGGTTCTGGCCGGTGTTGGTGCACAGATTTCAATGAAGGTTTCACGAGTTGATTATTCAATGCTTTTGAATTATGGTAAAGAGTAACAATATTGTTAGAATTACTGTGGTGTAACTTGTTGATCGGACCTTTCACAATGAATCTTGTTGTGCAGGAAGCACTGTGTAAGAAGCCTTAATAACAGGGCATTGTCAATTATGACAGTTAACTATTGTACTAGATTTAGGAGAAGTAAAGTACCATTTGGAATCGACTTATTTTTATTGACAGGATAGCCGAGCTAAGTTATTCTCGGAGAATATTTTGTCCCCAGGTAGTGCACCCGAGGACGGTTGCTAGTCAGGGATGGCCGTGTCGTGGATTGATGGCGCCATAGTGCAACAAGTAGCGCCATCTAACAATTAGCTTTGCGAATCAATAATATCGTTACAGGAAACGCAAGCGCACCCTACCGCTTGGACACGATCGTCGGTAGAGGGGATGCAGCGAGGGCTAGAGAAGGAACCGAGTGTTGTGGCAGTCGAGTTCGGACAGCTGGAGCGGACGCTCGCTACCGACGCACGTGTTTGTTTCTCGTGTACAACCACTAGTCTAAATAAAGTTATTTTGATTTAAATAATCTTTCGTTCGTGTGCCCACATTTACGAAAAACCATGTCGCAGCGTGAAGAAAACCCGATGCTTCGCATCTCGGCCACCCATGATGCGACATATAAAATCGATCCTCCTTCATACTTTAACAAAAATGTCATTATGTCAATTCATTATTTACAAAAATGTCCATTTACACAAAACTACAATGTCCATGTACACAGAATTTCCTCGTAAAGTCTCATAACCCTAACTTTAGGTTGAAGAGGAAGAAAGTAAGTCACAATAATCACTACGCAAAGAAATCCTAAACAGAACTCAGTTTCTAGGTATGTTTTCGTAAAAGGGCGCTAATGAACATAAACAATTTGACAAGTGCCACATCAACGTAAAATGACAACTTGTTAATGCAAACATTACATACAAAAAAACGACCGTATAGTATTTGATACGTTAGCGCCTTAGTGGTAATTTTTACGTGCATGAATAACGATAGCGAAAATCCGTTCAAGTTGAGTTCTTATTTGTTATCTCTATCTGAATTGTATGGATTATAATTATTTCGCCCGCTCACTCACCACTCGCGAGTCAATATTTAAGTTTATCTCAGTCTGTCTCTCTTGCTCGTGGCTCAGTCGCCTCGGAAGCGATGCGTCGCGCGAAATTAGCAAGAGCAAAGTTATGTTTTACTGTTCCAGATCCAAATGATGCATTTGTAACGTTGTTACTGAACCAATCTTTTGAATCACTTCAGTGATTCTCATCAGTGAGTCAGTTCTGTAAAGAGATACACACGCCTATAAGCCTATAACCTTCTTAATTTTATGGAGTTTTGGCACAGAATACTTTTCTCCTAGCGGAGGTTTTGGCGGGAACTTGACCGGCGACGGATCGCTGTTCCTGTATTATTGTTTAAATAATGGTTTGAAGTGGATTTTGATATGTAAAAGTGGTGTGATTTTGTGTATTAAATGTCTACGAATGTGAACTATTAGTGGAAACTGTGAAACAAGTGCTCTGATGGTGATGTGATTCTCAAGATAAGGTGTCTGTCTGCATAGGCACCTTGAGATACCATCGCCAACTGTCAGCTGTCTGCTGGCTCAAGTTGCCGTCAAAATCTCCCAAGGGCTGCACAATGTGACGCGTCATCATATTGTGGAGCAGTGTACTATGAAGGATAAATAAATATACATTGTAACTTCAGGCTCAGAAGGGCTAGAAGCTAGAACCCAGAGCCGTAAAGCCAGTTATTAAGAAAAAAAAAACTTAATTTTATAAAATGTATATATATATGTAATGCCGAAAGGAACATGAATTAGAATTTCTATTATTATACGAAAATGAATCAAGCAATAAACGTCGAACAACTAAACTCGGCACTGACATCGCTTCGAACCCTTAGATCGAGCGTAAGCTATGTTTTCGAAACACTTTCGAATGGATTGAGAGCTGATCATGGTGAAGATGGCAAAGATAAGTTTCTTATCGAGCTTCAAGAACTTCTTAATAGTGTGAACATTAATCTACGTGACCTAGAACAGACGGTCAATGGGCTTCCTATTCCCGTACCCTTTAATCTTGGTAACACAACATACCTTAGTCAAGAAACCACGCAAGATCGTCAGGCGTTGTATACGCAACTTGTTAACAGCTACAAATGGACAGATAAGATTCACGAGTATAGTTCATTTGCGCACACACTTCTAAGCCAAAACTCGTTGAAGCGATCATACATAAATTCCGGTAGCACAAAACGGAGGGGTAAACTTCAAAGTAACCACAATGTGGCACCTTTGCAGGTTGATAATGTCATAAATAACATTGATAGATCATACAATGATATGAAAATAACTATTTCCAGACCTTTCGCCAGTAATGCTGTGGTATCAATTAATTTAAGTCATGTTTTAAAAGCTGTAGTAGCTTTCAAAGGATTATTGATGGAGTGGGTGATGGTTAAAGGATATGGTGAAACTTTGGATCTTTGGACAGAATCCCGACATCATGTTTTCAGAAAAGTGACTGAAAATGCTCATGCAGCTATGCTCCATTTTTACTCACCAACTTTACCTGAATTAGCAGTACGATCATTCATGACATGGTTGCACAGCTATGTTAATTTGTTCAGTGAGCCATGTAAACGGTGTGGGTGCCATCTCCACCACACATCTCTTTTGCCACCAGCTTGGCGGGATTTCCGTACTCTTGAACCCTTCCATGATGAGTGTAAGCAATAGTTAATGTGGTATTGAATGGGAAAGCTCAAACAATTTTATATGTTGCCGCTTTCTCCTTCAATAATAATCATAAACAGACATTTTTCTTGTGCTATGAACTGTATAAGATGATGACTTAGGTGTAAATTGTTTATTAAGTGTTAAAGAAGTAATTTACTTAAATTGTAAATGTTTAAAATATTCATATTTAATTCTAATTAATATCTTCTCTACTTTTTACCTGTTGTATTATTTTCTACACACTACAATAGATGCAAACTATGTCAGAAAATGCTATACAAAAACTGAAGACTTACTTGTACATGAGAGTCGACCAACTGTTATTGGGAGTGTGAACATTATAACTATCTATATTGATCTAACATCAGACAATTTATGTAATAGTAGTGCGATGGATTATCACATTGGAGCCAGAGTTCCAAACGCCATTAGTACATGAATACTAGAAACTCCAGCTCCAAATCCCAAGACGGGGATCCCGCTAGTACACATGCTGCCTCAAAGGAGATGCAATATCCCTATATGGGCCTAACGACCATCACTCAGAGGTCTTTTCAGGAAAGCAATGATCTTTACTGTCAGTGCCTGCGACCATACAGGGACTCCATACACCATATACCGTAGATCACACCACTCCCAGATGACTATATCTGTGTGGCAACTCGAAGTGGACTTAATCTCTATATAGGTATCACTAATAACAATGTGGGACCCCCTTGACGGCTCTCTTCTAGATCTATGAAAGGAAATGACCTCTTGACTGGCTTAGTGCCACCCCAAGTCCCAACATTCATATTCTGCCTACAACATATGCCACCAACGTAGTGGCAATGGCAAGATGGGCAGTCATGAATATATAATGCCATAATCAAGAATCAGCACAATAGGCGTAATAATGACTATTGCCTGTTCCTGAATGACTGTCATTTTAGTCTCATGTGCCATAGATTATAGCATATATGACATAAGGCAGCATGTGCCATACTTTATACTGCTAGAAAGAGTGGGAGATTAGAGTTTTACCCTCATTTCTTCATATTTGACCCTCATTCCTAACAATATTTAAAAATGTATTATATCAATAATAATTTATACAAGGTTATTTTGAGAGTAGCCAAATTTTTAACTTATATCAAATATATAAATCAGGGTTTCCCAACCTTTTTTTGACCAGGGACCACTTGATTTTTTGTAGTTAGCATGGAGCACAAGGTAAAAGAAAAAGCTGTTAACCGGTTCAGTGCGGGTGACACGCCAGGCGTGCCATCGATTACTTTTGTGTAGCGTATGACATGCGAGTCGTATCTTTTTAAAAATCGTTATAACTCGCTCAAATTGCTGTTTTGGAAAATTTATCCAGGACAAAATATTCATTATTTTGCGAGTAGTTCATCCATGCAGCTTCGTTTCTGGATATTTTGAAAATTTGAAATTTTTAGGGGTTGACAACCTTTTTTTAATGTGTACATGGTATTATTTTTACTTTGTGGGTTTTAAATCATGTTATGGAAAAATTGTCTAATAAGTAACAAATAATAGCACTCATTGCGATCGCTTACAAACTCAAGTTGTAAATAAATTTCTGGAAAACAAGTCTCCTGTTAAAAAAACAATGTGTTTGTCTTATTGTTTAATTTTGCTTAAAATGGTTGAACTGCCGTCTTATTACTATCATATGGCCGAATAGACCTACGAAGTACCATGTGCTCTTGTGATATGGTATAAGGTTTATTTTTGCTTGAAACAGTTCGAAACCGTTCATGCATAAAAAAAGTTCGCTAATAAATAGTCTTTTGTCAATCCGCCGCCATATAGCGCCGACGTTTTTTTCCTTTTGAAAACACTTGTTTTGCTATTCTTACTAATTAGACGTTTTCAGATCGACTTTACTTTTACATTTGTATAACATTAAATAATATTTAACATTTGTAAATATCAATGAATCATAAACCTTTTTTTTTTCAAATTAAGGTTCTTGATTGTTTGATATTTACAAATGTTTTTATTAGGTGAAATTTAATTTAGTAAAAACAACGTTTTCCAAGGTGATTTAGCTGTACCTACTTCTATAAATGATTTTTTTATAAAACAAAAAATAGTACAAAAGGTTTGTAATCTCTTCATGAAAAAAGTCACTTACTCTCAATTTCAAAGAAAACGCGTAAAAAAACACGTAGTTACCCACTAAAAACAAGTATCCTTCCATTTGTAACTTATGTTTGATGTCAAATAAACTTAATTAGGTCTAAACAAGTAAAAAAAGCATCAAAGTCATTTTTGTCTGTGGCGCTTGACACGCCCGGCGTGTCAGGAAATATTTGTTGCAAAAGCTAGTAGATACTAATGTGACGACCCTTACAAATATGATAAAAAGGACAGAATGTTTGATTTTTTTTTTAATTAATTTTTCTTCACCATTTACCTATATTACTCATTCATATACAAATTAGGCAGGTTATTGCAAAAGAACCCTGTATACAATATCAATAAATATTTGCTTTGGTCAATAGATTAGACAAATTAATGAAACTACAAAACCACTTTTTCCAACAATTGTTATTAAAATTTCTAAGGCATGGCATTAAACAAATGGCTTACAATAGGCTATAGTGTGGTCAACACTGCATTTAACATCCAAAACATGAGCTCCGATCGAAACTTTCAATGGAAAATGCTGATCTTTAGTGTGACCCAAACCTAAGCATCCATGCCTATTTCGTCCCCATGTATACAAATCTCCATTATTGGTAACAGCAGCTAAGTGCCCAATTCCACACGCAACTTTCTGGACAGCACTCTCAGGGTTAAATTCATTTCTTCCAAAAAGGGCTGGAGGTATTTGCTTTGGATTTGTTGAATGCTGAACATTAGGCCCTAGTCCAAGCAAGCCAAAGCCCCACACAAACACATCACCTTGGTCTGTAAAGATATTTTATTCTATAAAACACTGACTGACAGGAAACATATTTAAGAGTTTAAAAGTTTACAAATCCTAACGGTTTACAATCCAAAAGGTATATAAATAAAATATCAAACATTTTTTTAATTGCTCTTAGTATAAAATTATTATATTAATGATGATCATATCTAAAATTAGCTAATTTTCACTATTGCCATGTTGATGACAACATTTGATTAATGTCAGGTAAAACAGAAAGAACACAAACAAATAAAAGAAATTTTTATTATATTGTTAATAAAATATGGTAGGACTTTTTTTCTACCGACTTCAAAGACGGTATTCAATTCGACTTTAAGTTTTTTTGTGTGTTAGGCCGGCCACATACCTACGTAATTCCGTTTCGTGATTACGATTCGGAATTTCGAACGCAGCAAGTCCATATACAATCTATGACCCGCCACACACGTACGGTAGTTTTCCGTTCCAAATTTTACGGGCAACACGGGATTCCGTATGTGTGTGGCCGACCCGTTCGGTTCCGACGGAATTCCGTATGTATGTGGCGGGCCTTACCTCATAACTTTTTACTGGATGAACCGATTTCCATAATTCTTTTTTTATTTGAAAGCTGATGCTTCACATGTAGTCCCATATAAATTGATCAAGGTCTGATTAATATTTTTTTATAGGAGAGGGGGCAAACGAGCATGCGGTTCACCTGATGGTAAGCGACTACCGCCGCCCATGAACAACCGCAACACCAGGGGAATTGCAGATGCGTTGCTGGCCTTTTAAAAAGGAGTAGGCTCTTTTCTTGAAGGTCCCTAAGTCGTATCGGTCCGGAAAAATCGCTGATGGTAATCGATTCCACAAGGCAGTCGTGCGAGGAAGAAAACATCTTCTAAATCGCACAGCGGTGGACCGCCAATCATTCAGATGGTGTGGATGGTATCGGGAGTTCTGCCGCGATGTGCGTTCGTGAAATTTGGCGGCTGGGATTAATCCGAACAATTCCTCAGAGCACTCCCCGTGGTAAATGCGAAAGAAAATGCAAAGAGATGCAACATCTCTTCGCAGCGCCAATGAGTCGAGCCGATCGGAAAGAACTCGGTTGTCGACAATTCGAGCCGCTCTGCGCTGGATGCGGTCAAGTGGAAGGAGCTGGCACTGAGGAGCCCCAGCCCAAAGATGGGAACAGTATTCCATGTGAGGCCGAACCTGCGCCTTGTAAAGTAGCTGGCGGTGTGCCGGCATGAAATACTGTCCCGCTCTGCTGAGCACGCCAAGCTTTTTAGAGGCCAATTTGGCCTTCTCTTCCAAGTGACCACGAAACTGCACGTCACTCGATATGTCGACGCCGAGGATTGCGATACTGGCTGAGGCAACAAGGGGAGTACCTTGAAACTGAGGAGATATGACAAAGGGGTTCTTTTTAGCGGTAAACGCGCAAACTTGTCTTCTGAGGATTAAATTGGACTAGATTTAGTCGCCCCCAATCAGAGACTTTGTTCAGTAAAGACTCGACTTCAGACACAAGTTTGTCCCGGTACTCGGCGACGTTTTCCCGAGAAATATTGGCACGGCCGGTGTATAGAGCATCACCAGTGCTGTCATCCGCATAGCAATGAATGCTAACGGTTTGCAACATATCATTGATATGCAGAAGAAACAGCGTTGGTGATAGCTACAACGACCTTGATGCTCTGATCTGCAAGAAAGCTGGTGATCCAATTGCATAATTTCTCGGGAAGCCCATAGGAAAGGAGCGTCGAAAGAAGCGCTTTGTGCCAAATCCGATCGAAGGCCTTCGCTATATCCAAACTAACGGCCAGGGGGAGGCCCTTGGACTCTACTGCCACCGCCCATCTATGAGTTAAGTATCACCAGCTGATCGACCCCGACGAAAACCGTATTGGCGGTCACTAATCAGCTGGTGATCCTCAAGGTACCGCATGAGGTGGCAGTTTATAACGGATTCCATTATTTTGGAGAACCATGGGGTGATGGCGATAGGCCATAGTTGGATGGGTCTGTGAGCGGTCGCCTTTTTTAGGGATCGGGTGGACAAAAGCTGTCTTCCATGATTTCGGGTCTACGCCTAGGGAGTAGGAGTACCGGAAAAGACGCGTTAGAACCGGTGCCACCTCCGGAGCACACGTCCACAGCACAATTGGGGGATTCCGTCAGGCCCACTCGATTTGTGGATGTCCAGGGAGAGGAGTGCTCTGCGAACCGAGCGCTGTGAGAACCGCACATCCGGCATGGAGCACTCACACCGCGGGATGGTCGGCGGTGTGTTCCCCCCATCATCAACAGTCGAGTTGGACGCAAAAAGGGAGCCTAAAAGGTCGGCTTTCTCTTTTGCGTCGTGGGCCAGTGAGTCATCCTCCCTGTGCAGAGATGGTAGTTATGGCTTACAGAAATTCCCTTGGACAGCCTTGGCGAGAGACTAGAATACACGCGTTCCTGAAGGAAGGCGAACTAGTTTCTCGCCAATTCTGCCTGTGCTCTGACTTTGCCTTGGCAATAACTCTTTTAAAGGACCTGGAGGCGAAGTTATACTTCTTTTTAAGTATGCTGGTGTTTACATCCCGAGTCGCCGAAGCCGCAGCCCAGGCTTGATAACACTCCTGCTTACTGCGTAATGCAGTCCTTACAGGAGCGACCAAACCAAGGCTGACATCTGCCTCCGATGGCTACCACAGATGATGGAATAAATAGTTCCATTCCCTGTAGCACCACATCAGTGACAGAGTCAGCAACAGCGCTAGGATCATCCGGCGAGTAGCAAACCCGCCCCTATGGGTAGAAAGCAAAGAAAGACCGCATTTCGTGCCAATCCGCCGACCTGTAATGCCAAACACGGCGGTAACCTGCAGAACGGTACCGCGAGGGGAGCGTGAGTGGCACCACACTCCGGATCAGACAATGGTCCGAAGAGCCAAGAGGCGCTTCGACGGAAACCTGATATCCGTCCGGATGAGAGGTCAGCAGAAAGTCCAACAAGGAAGGTGTATGATCCTCAACATCTTTTTTTTATATAGGATAGGGTGACAAACGAGCACACAGTCCACCTGATGGTAAGTGGGTACTGCGGCCCATAGACATCTACATTTATCCTCAATAAGGAATCAAAATGCAGATGCGTCGTCACCCGTGAGGACTAAGATGGAATACCTCGTTTCCAGTAAAATGGGTCTCCGGTTCTCTACACTCACCATACAAAACACAGCGGTGTCAAGCTGCTATTTTACGCTGGTATTCTGTGAGAGCGTGGTCTTTCCCCGGTCGAGCCGACCCATTCGTGCTACAACTATACTACTAATATAGCTGCAGCATGGCTCTACCACGTAGAAAATCTGAAATCCGCGTAGGCGATGTAACCAGTTGTGTCAGACCATATGCCAAGGCAAAGTCATAAACAGATCTCCCCGCATGATCGGTTAAACGTGAACCGAGCCATTCGGCGTGGATGGGACTTGTTGTAGCAAGGAATCTGTAGACATTTGAACGTGGTCGATGAGTTGGTCTATTTCGGCCTTACCACTATGGGACCTATAGAGGCACCCATAGACGCGCGGATGGTCGTCGCTGTCTACGCGTAGCCAAAGGATGGACAGGTCCGAACCTTCAAGACTGCAGAGGCGTCGAGAACAGATGTCCTCTCTGATGTATACGCAAACTCCAGCCCGAGGAAAGGAGTGCTCCAATTTGTACCCCGGGTAGGAGAGATACGAAGTATCAGCCGGAGAGGACACCTGCGTCTCGGTCAAAAAGGGCAAGGCCGGCTTCGCCGTCTCGAGATGGTAGTGGATGGCGTTTAGGTTCAAGTGAAGTCCCCTCATATTGCAGAAATTCACGGATAGCGTGGCAGGGGTCGCCTTGGTCTTGTTGCTCAGTTTGCCCCGAGCAGTTATTGTGTTGAGCGGAATTTTACCCCCCCCCCCCCCCCCCCCCCCCAGAATACACATGGCAGCCTGAGCACCCACGCTCAGTAATGGAATAGCATGGTCGTGGATGCTCAGTGAGGTATTCTCCAGGGGTGCTGGTACCCTCCTGGGGTAGTCTATGATGTAATTCCGCTATCATGTTGATGGGGGGAATTGGGCTTCCGGTCACCTGCACTCACCAGGCGAAACGCGGAAGCAAAGCTTCCACTTCACGCCGGTATTCTGTGAGGTTGTGGTACTAACCCGGCTCGAGCCGGCCCATACGTGCAACAGCAAAAGCAGCTGTGTGGCTCTACCACCGTTAAAGATAATAGTTTTTGAGTTATTCTTAATAATTTATTTTGAAGTTGGTTGTACAAAATTTTTTATTTTAAATTATCTGCTAGGTTTTCTGCTTCTGGGTATGTATAACCTTCTTCCTTATTTCTGTCGACTAATAGCATTTCTTGCACTAATGTGTTACGGACATATGTGTGTAGAGAGTCAGTACAACTACAGGCTGTGACACATTCTGTTTTAGCCCTCAGAGGTGATAAGGCAACTATTGCCTTCATTGTTACAAGTAGGCTGCAGGTGGGTGTCCATGGGCTGCAATAGCCACTTACCGTCAGGTGGACTGTTAATTTATTTGTCACTTCAGTTTTATAAAAAGAAAATAATAATCTAGTCATTATAATAACCTCTGAAACTCTTACCGTTAACAATAAGACAAAAGGAGCCTCCTGCAGCAATGTCCACAATTTTACCAAGTCCACGTGTAAAATTGACCAGTGCATATGATTTATTTACTTGATCACACTTTGATGTCATTGGAATTTGCCCATACTCAGAATTACCCCAACCAAAAAGCTCACCTTTGTCTGCAAAATAACATAAAATTTTCTAGATTTCGAAAGGCTAAATACTCAAACGCAACTCAATGTTTTTTAAGTCACTTTGACTTATATGATATATGATAGAGACAGCACGAGACTTAATGGCATCTTGAAATTGACTAGTATTTGAGATTTGCCCATAACTGTCCATTAATAGGCTGAACATTTTAGTCATTTTTCATTCATTCATCATTTTAGTCAAAAAAATGCTATATGGGATCCAAAAATACAAAAATCTTACCATTAATTGCAAGGACACAATCAACTGTTGATGTCACTTTAACAATTTTCTCACTTGTTATATCTCCCTGTACTGGAGCTGGTATATCTTGATTGTCATATGTTCCCAAACCTGTTTGACCATCAGCACCCCATCCACAAGCATATACCCTTCCAGATTCTGTTATAAAGAGACTATAAACATATTTATTAAATGCTTTGAATGCTAAATATGTCTTAATCCAAACAATGATGATGCTTACGTATGATCTTGCCCACAGCACACATAATTAATGTTTTCCTTTCCTAATCTTTTTATATTGTAAGACACCATACTCCCTCTGTATTCCTCTTTGGGATTAATCTTTCTGCCACACTGACCATAGGCATTATTGCCAAGTGTGTAGACTCCTTCATTGTCCGTCAGTATAACTGTATGTGCTCTCCCAGCTGCCAAACCTGTAATCTGTTATTGTATAATTTAATCAATTATTAGATTTGTCAACATGTGCTTTTTGCAAAAGAAATCCAATATAACAACCCATGTTACATAACAATCAACTTAATGAAATGGACAGAAAATAATGCAAGCTTGTGCAATTTCATTCAGACAATGTTGGAGCTAAAATTTTTTACATGAAGAAGTCACTTTTTAATCAACACCATTAATTGATCACAGTACAGCAACAGCCATATATTTCTCATTAATTATCATTTAAGTATCACTTAAATTCTGGGTCAGTCTCAGTTATAGTATTCTATGAATAACCTAGAATTGCCTTTCTGATAACAAATGAATAGCATCATGATATACATGCTATACTACTGTAAAATATAATAAAGTAACATATTAGTCCATGAAAATTATTCCAATAACGAGTAAAACACAAAAATATATTCAGTCTAACAATCACATGAAAAAAGAATATATATTAAATAGGCAACTAATATTACCTTAGTTTCCAAAGACTTGTAAGGAATATAAATTGGTGCCGGACTAAGCAATAGTTCTAGAGGATGACCTATTCTTGGAGCATGATATCCTATCTGTGAATCTGTATTAATTCCAGTGCCAAATAATTTGTGTTGTTCATCTGTTTTAACAGCTGCAACCGTAAAGCCATAACCACATGCTATTTGTGTCACCTACAATTAAAAAAATGTACAAAATATAAATATATTCTATAGTTATTATATAATATTTTAAAAAACATTTGGTGCTATTTTAAATACTCATATGACCTGTTATAAAGAGTTAAGCACCTAAATTAAATCCTTAATAACTAAAAAAATTACATGAGTATATTCAAAGGATACTATTAATGTTCACTTACATCAAACCTCTCACAAAAACTAGACCTCATAGGAAACCAAACAAGAGAAAAGTCGTTTCTGTAAGATTTCTTGCCCCTTTTACCTCTTCCAGGCAAGTGTATGCCCAGGGCTCCTGTTTCTGCCATTCCCCAAACGTAAACCCGTCGATCGGAACTTTTACTGACAGGATATTTGAAAACTGAAATTTAAAAAAAATATGAAATATATAAAAACGCAAACAACTAATAAATATACCATTTTTCTTTTAATAAATTAATAATAAATTACTTGGTAATTGTTCCTCTTCATCTGGATCCGGTATTTTCTTTTTTGTTGTAACTGAACGATATACCATTAAACTAGGTAAACGGCGATATAAACTAGATTTTATGGCGTTCATTTTTAATTGATTATAAACACATTGCAAGTTGCAAAATAAATAAATTCAATTCAATTTATTTTTATTTTACATTTGTTCGATGATCGATGGCATGACAGCTGACAGATCCACAGCACAATAGGCTTGGGCAAAAAATATCGAAATATCGATACTTTTTAATAAAAATATCGAGATATATCCATTATTATTTTGTATATTTATATATTATTTTAGAGTATTGAATTCGTATCAATTTCGATATATTTTAAAATGTTGTATTAATGACAAAACTTGTAACAACATAAGGAGGTACAAAAGTATAGTTTTTTTTCGTCGTCCAACCGTCAGTAATATAAAATTTTGGACTTTATCTTTACACCATGCAAATGATGACGATATATCGATATTTATCACGCGATATATAACGATACCGTTTGAAAATATCTATTCAATAAATATACCGATATATTTTTTTCCCTTGCGCATCCCTACAGCACAGATTGCTTGCTGACTTGCTGTTGACACATGATATAAAAAGTACACTGTGCACATGAGTAAAGAATCATAGACTTAGAATATACTGGCGTATAGACGACCTGACAGCCCGAAAACGCGTGACTAATTTTGATTTATCATTGTGTGCGTTAGCTAGTGATGTACATTTTACTTACAAGGACTGTCGAAAAATGATTGTTAAGGAAGCGGTAAAAAGATTTAAAAAAATGGTTTAGTGCATGAAATTGAATAACTTCAAAAATTAAACGGAGACCAGATATCCGTCCGGATGAGAGGTCAGCAGAAGGTCCAACAGGGAAAGTACTTGATCCTCCACATCTGGAATCCGCGTAGGCGAAGTAACCAGTTGTGTTAGACCATATGCCAGGGCAAAGTCATAGACAGATCTACGGAACCAAGTCACTTAGCGTGGTGTTTCAAATCACCCAGTATCACGATCTCTGCGGAAGGGACCTGTTGCAGCACGGAGTCTGCAGCCATTTGGACGTGGTCGATGAGTCAGTCTGTGTCGGCATTACCGCTATGGGACCTATAGAGGCGTATGGTCGTCGCTGTCTACGCGCAGCCATAAGATGGACAGGTCCATACCTTCAAGACTGCCGAGGCGTCGAAAACAGATGTCCTCTCTGACGTATACGGAAACTCCAGCCCGAGGCACAAATAAGAGTTCTAATTTGTACCCCAGGTAGGAGAGATATGAAGTATCAGCTGGAGAGGCCATCTGAGTCTCGGTTAAATAGAGAAAGGCTTCGCCGTCTCTAGATGATAATGGACAGCGTTGAGGTTGGAATGAAGTCCCCTGATATTGCAAAAATTCACGGATAGCGTGACAGGGGTCGCCTTGGTGTTATTGCTCCGCTTGCCCCAAGCAGTATTAGTCGCGAGCGGAATTACCTCCCCCCCCCCCCCCCCGCCCCGAATACGTAGTGCAGCCTGAGCACCCACGCTCAGGAGTGGAGTAGTTTGGTCGTGGATGCTCAGCGAGGGATTCTCCAGGGGTGATGGTACCCTTCTGGGTAGTCTTTTCTCCGGCCACCTGCACTCACCAAGCGCAACGCAGAGGTAAACCTCTACTTCACGCTGGTATTCTGTGAGGTCGTGGTACCACCCCGGTTCGAGCCGGCCCATTCGTGCGACAGCAAAAGCTGCCGCGTAGTTCTACCACTGTTAAAAAGTATCTATTTATCATAAATCTGACCTAAAAAATGTATTCAACATGATTTATTATTTCTATAAGTTTCCTCAATTGGCATTGTTAAAAATACTAAAAACGAATAAGACGTGTACCTAACCGTAAGTCTCACACCCCTAGAATTGTAACTATTAGCCCGTTAGCCAGACTGCAGTGTAGTCGCACGCAGAGATACGATATAGTGTTAAAACCAAAGATAGTAACTGTCCTATTCAGGAATGCATAATGTAAATATATGGTTAACACTGGCAACTAAGATACCCCTACCCTTATAGACTTAGTCTATGCATTACAATGTAATGTAAAGTTTAGCTGTATATAACTCTGCGAGTAACAACTCGCCGAGTTATTCGTGGACGAGTAAGACGCGTTACATAGTCCTCTGTATTCATTCAACGTAGATCTTTTAAACATGCGTTTCGTTGTTACGACTTTGTCTTCTTAATATTTATTTAAAATGATTTTTTGAAAATGCTTTTCAAAAACTCAATTTGCTGACAAATAACAGTGCATGTTTGAGTTCCAGCCAATGTAAGAATATATGAATTGCTTGAGCAAACATTTTGATCTCGAAAGAAATATTGTAAATATTGGTAATGACGTACAGTAGAAACTCGATTATCCGGCCCTCTGTTATACGGATTCGTGATTAACCGGACTATCAACCACGACCAATTAAATAATTAAGTCATATTGAGCTAAGTTATAAAATATTTAACATAATATGTACTACAAGTCAAATTTATGCTGGCATGAACGTGTTGGAATTGGCGGAACTATTAGAAGACGCTTTGTATTGTTTGTTTTTACAAAAACGATCAACTGAGCGACCGATATCTGGCCTGGCTCCTTGCTCTATGAAAAAGCATAACAGTTAAATAAAAAATATGTGGCGATGAATCGTTTATCGCAAGTAATGGATAGTTATACAGATTTAAATCTCGTCATGGAATTCGTAAATTGAAAATACAAGGTGAAAAAATGTTAGCTAATGTAGACGCAGCAAATTCTTTCAAAGATGATTTTTAGAAGAAATATGGATTAAACTGGAAGTCATTACCTTCAAAATCTTTAGCTTCTAGACGAGAGAATTCAGCTCCAGGATATAAAACTAGCAAAAAGCGAGTAACAATATTACTTTGTGCTAACGCTACCGGAACCCATAAAATACCTTTGCTCCTCATCCGAAAATCAAAAAACCCCAAATGTTTTAAAAATATCGGAGTGCCCATAATTTATAAAAATAAAAAAGAGCATGGATGAACTCTGAAATATATATTGACTGGTATGACAACACTTTTATCCCTAAAGTAAAAATAAAGACAAAACGAAATTGGCACAGAAAGAAATTAATGTAGAAGTCGTTTTATCGTTTTTTAAGGAAAAGAATTTAAAGGAGTGTTGTTTCATGGTTGTAGATGCGTGAGATTTGATTGAAAGGAAAACTTTAAGCAAGGCTTGGAACAGAGTACTTAATCTGTGAAAATTTAATAACCAATACGGATGATTCTATTTTAAAAGATATAAATGAGCTAATGTTAGAGATGCAAATATGCCAGGATTGTGATGATGATGATATAAAAGAGTGGGTCACTTGTGACATTAATGATCAAGGCTTTCAGAGTATGTCAGATGACGAAATGGTACAAAACATACAGATAAATGAACAGCAAGAAACGCAAGAAGATGAAACAGAAGAAAATTTAGACGTGAAAAATGATGCAGTACCATCTCATAATTAAACACTTCAGGCCCTAGAAACAGCTCATAAGTGGTTTAAAAAAATAGAGAGTGATAGTGTTAGTTTACTACAGCTGAAACCTAAGATGTTTTTAAAGTATAGAAACGTTATACTCGCTCTAAAATGGCAATACGAAAGTCAGGTAATTGCCTGACTCACATTCAATCGGGCACGCACTCGCGTCGCAGCTATACCTTCGCTACAGCGTGTAAATCTTCTAGTTATTCGTGGCAAAAATGCCTTCCTGTGTTTTGAGGTGGTGCACAAATTACACGGCAACTGTTAGAGACAAGAAAAACGTCTCATTAATATTCTGAATATAATATGTTTTGTTCATAATTGGTTTTATTATTTCAACACTAACCGCTGGTGTAAACTTTGACGCTAGCTAGTGTCTTCATTTTCTATATCGGTATGTCACGCGCTCGTGCCAATGAGCGCTCAGCAGTAATCAATACGCAACTAATGATGTATATTTATCTTTTTCTAACGATAGGTATGCCCTATCATTTGTCTCTTTTTGTTAGCGCTACGTGCCATAATAAATAACTGTACGTAGATATAGTACTACCTGCGCCACTTTAAAAAACAATAATGTTAGTGTGTAACATGTCTATCTTTTTTAATACGTACTGAAACGAATTCGTGATATAGCAGCAATGAAGAGAAAAATTGGCTTACGTCAAAAATGACAGTTACCAAATATTTTAAACCATAGAATTATTACCCACTAGAAACGCAGTCTAGTAAAAAACACGAGCGTTAAAGTAATGCATTATTTTTGTGAGCGCGAGTCGAATGTGCCCACGCTCGTCACACGCACACATATACGCCATTCAGTGATACCAGTTTCAGGCGTTTGCAATCAAATTACGCAAATCACTATTTTATTGATTAATTTAAAATAATCGATATAATAAAGATTACATATTACGTACGAAGACGTATTTTATGAGAATATAAAATGGAATAAAATAAACACAATAATGATGGTACTAATATAAGTTTATTATACATATTTTAATGGTACAAAAATGCAGACGTAATAAAATTTAAGTATATTATTAAACACAATTAATTTGCTCGAATACAATAAGCACATCGTGTAATGTTTAATCTTAACCGAGTTCAAAAAAGGAGAAGGTTCTCAATTCGGTCTATTTTATTAATTTTTTTACCTCCTATAATTTCTAGTTCTATAATTTCTAAACTGATTTATTTTTTTTTATTTGAAAGCATATACACACAGTTTGATCCAATATGCCCGCTGAAATTTTAATGGTTGTTTTCCCGAAGTAAAATGATTTTGTCTTGGTAGTACAATAGATTTATTAAAATAAAAATTATTAGGATGCAAAAATGACAGGTTTAAAATCGAGAAAAACAAAAATTTTTCAATTGTAATATTTTTTATTTTATCATAATTTGGTTGCGGGAAAACAACCACTAAAATGTCAGCATGTATATACGAATTAATCTAGAATCGTCTTAGAAATCAATGTACATGCATAATTGATAACCTCTCCTTTTTGGGAGTCAGTTAAAAATAAACTATGTTTCGGTGTAAAGTTCTGGTAAATGTTTGGGTGTAAAGTGACATCTGGTTAGTAAAGGCGTTCTTATTAATAATCTCTTGATGTTGTAAATAAAAAAGTTTTTATTCTATACTCTAAACTCTAAAACGTCGACTAAGGCCGGCCTCATACATACGGAATTCCGTTTCGAGATTCCGTTTCGATATTCCGATTCGGAATCCCGAACGCAGCAAGTCCATATAAAATCTATGACCCGCCACACACGTACGGTAGTTTTCCATTCGATATTTTGCGGGCAAAACGGGATTCCGTTTGTGTGTGGCCGACCGTTCGAAATTCCGAAACGGAATCTCGAAACGGAATTTCGTATGTATATGGCGGGCCTTAGTCAATAAACCAAGCAATTAATATAAAATAGTTGCGTTAAAATGGCGTCGACGGATCACGATCAGCTGATCACTCCATATTAGTTTTAAATAGGCACCCATTGTTAATATTATGTTAATACTTAGAGAAGTAGGTATATATATATATATATATATATATATATATATATATATAAACATTTGAGTTTTACACAGAGCGTTGCGATTAAACGTTTTAAACACAAATAGAAAATAAATATTTTTAAAAGAAAATTGTGATTTTTTCCCCACAACTAGCAACATTTGTATTATGATAGCTTAGATATGTATTTTTTTAGTTTTACATAATTATAATGAATTATATATATGAACTTATATGTGAGGTGTAACACCATCACCTTTTTTGTGTTTATCATCACTATTGAAACAATATTTTACAGCAAAAACGGTCATATTTACAATTTTTCGCGAGCTCTTTTCCGTAAGGCCGGCCACATACATACGGAATTCCGTTTCAAGATTCCGTTTCGATATTCCGATTCGAAATCCCGAACGCGGTAAGTCCATATAAAATCTATGACCCGCCACACACGTACGGTATTTTTCCGTTCGAAATTTTGCGGGCAAAACGGGATTCCGTTTGTGTGTGGCCGACCGTTCGAAATTCCGAAACGGAATCTCGAAACGGAATTCCGTATGTACTTGGCGGGCCTAAGACGTGACGTTGCACACTGACGCGTCGCGGAGTGAACTTACGCGGTTTCGCCGTTTCGCGTTAGTTTTAGTTGCTTCACTTCTGGTGCGCGTACTAGGATTCTATACATAATAATTCTATGTTTTAAACCAAATTAAACTTATTAAGTATTTTATTTCATGATTACCAAATGCAAATTATCAAAAACATTCATGATTGAGGCTGTAGTATTTTAGTATGTCTTTGTAATCTAAGAGAATATATATGTATAAATAAGTGCACACGTCGTATGTTGGCAAATGTATCTGTTAATAATTTCTTAATAAACATTGATTTTCATTGATATTATGTATTTGTTGTTTTGGCTTAGCTTTCCATTGACGTCAGTCGAGTTTGGTGTTGATATGTATTTTTACAGAAAAGTTACACTATTATAAGCACACACACAAAGTTTCAACATGCGGAAACGCGTAATTTTCGAGAAAAGAATTATTGAAAATCAATTGTTCTTGCAATGTTTTTGTCTAATCCTACGATAAAACTGGCGCCATTTTGTAATGTCATTGTCGACGTCAATAGGGATGTCGATTCTTTCCGAAAAATGTCGATTTTTAAATCGATTCAAATCGTAAGCTGATGTATCGGTTCACAAAAATCGATTTTAAAATATCTATATTTTTTTAATGTTTCTATTTATAATTTAAATATGAACCCATTTTATGAAAAACAAGAAAGATACCATGATAAATGATCTCTTATTGAAATTTGTTTTATTTAACAGTACCTATTAGGGCAGATAACAAATAAAATAGGTTAGGTTCAACTTATGTCAAAGAACCGAATTGGTTGACCCCGACTCCACCTGGTACGAGTCTGTCCTACCCCTAGAGTGGTTTTATAGAGCCGGAGGCGCGTAGCGGGAGCAGCCTCCGCCTGCTGTAACAAATCGTAGGCATCGGACGAGCTGGAGCGGCTGAGGCTGGTCGCTGAGGGATGCCTGCGATTTGTTACGCTAAGACGTAGAGGCTGCTCTTCCCGCAGCGCCGGAGACGTAGCAGTCTCAAAATAGATACAGAAATCCTTCTGAATCAGTCCCCTTATTTTTTTATGATGAAGGGGATTTTTTCTCATAAAATGGATTTATATTTACATTATAAATGCAAACATGAAAAAAATATCGATATTTTAGAAATCGATTTTTTGGGAATCGATACATCAGCTTACAATTCGAATCTATTTAAAAATCGATCTTTTTCGGAAAGAATCGACATCCCTACTGACAATAATAATAAAAATGGCGTCAGTTTCACGGTAGGAATTGACTAAATATTGCAAAATTATTTGATTTACAATATTTTTTTCTCAATAAGTACGTGTTTCCGCATATTGAAGCTTTGTGTGTGTGCTTATAAAAATGTAATCTTTCTGTAAAAATACGTATCAACACCAAACTCGACTGACGTCAATGGAAAATCGTGCCGGTGTTTTTAATAAACACATAACATTATGAATGTATGTACTATATGCACTAAACCCCGTTTTCTTCATACATTCGATTATCCGAATCCCTAACGACAACAATTAGTCCGGTTAATCGAGTTTCTACTGTATTAAAATGTGTGCAAGATTGTATATTTGTTATGCCATATGAGTGCATTTCAATAAATTATTTTAAAAAACTTTACGTTATGTACTTAATTTATCATTTAACTAAAAGGCACAACAAATTGTTGAAGAACAAAATTTATAAAATAATACATTTAGAATAAGTAGTTTATAAAAAAATATATTATAATATCTTATGTAGAAAATAAAAGCTGATAAACGTTTCGTTTATTTAATTTTATCCTCCTGTGCCAACCCTACCGCAATAGGACAGCTTCTGAAGCCTGTTCACTATGGGATATAATATAATATATATTACATCTCGAGATATAAATTAAAATTGCTCACCATACTTTTAAATGGAACCGTTTACACTGAATACGGGGGTCACACAAACTTTTTATGTACACTTTTTTTTATAGGATAAGGGTGACAAACGAACACACAGTCCACCTGATGGTAAGTGGTGGCTGTGGCCCATAGACATCTACATTTATCCTCGATTACGAATCAAAATGCAGATGAGTTGTCACCCGTGAGGACTAAGATGGAATGCCTCTTTTCCAGTAAAAAGGGTATCCGGTTCTCTACACTCACCATACGAAACACAGCAGCACTAAGCTGCTATTTTACGCTGGTATTCTGTGAGGGTGTTCCTTCCCCGGTCGAGCCTATCCATTCGTGTTACAACTATACCAGAAATATAGCTGTAGCATGCCTCTACCACGTATAAATACTGCCACAATACACACATTGCTTCACCCAAAGCGTCGAACCCAATCCGTCGAAATAAAATACATAAAAACCATATAAACCATATATTAGACAAAGAATACAATTACGAAGAAATTATTTAATTTTAGACAACAAATTTGCACGAAACTGTGTGTTCTGGAACAATGCCTTAATTAGACTCCTCAGTTCTTCTGTGGTGAAGTGCTTAGCAAGAGGTCCGTTGCCATCATTCCAATGGTTCTCAATATCTTTAAGTGAACCGCCCAATACAAATATAAGTTCTTGGAGTTTCAACCACGACTTGACATGTGTATCCACGTCGATTGGATTCTGAAAGTGTATATAGGTGAATATTAATATTTAGTTCTACCCTAATTTGAGCAGTCTCTAGGGTAAGACCGTTTCGCGACGGTATTCGTAATTAGTTCTAGCCTTTAGATGATAATGATGAAATTAAATTCAATGTGTTTCAAGGCTTCAAGTAATGTTCAAATTTTAGAAACACGCCGAGGCGTATTATGAACTCTGCTCAGCTTCCTCTCACGAATAAACGTAGCAACATAATATACAACTGTGTTTCGTATGGTGAGTGACTAGTAATATTAACTCATACTTTTACTGAGAACAAGACATTTCTTTTGATCCCAGGGGTCACAACGTAACTGCATTTTTTTATATGATAAGGGTGAAAAAACGAGCATCAGTCCACATGATGATAAGTGGCTGCTGTTGCCCATAGACATCCACATCTATCCTCATTTGCAAATTAAAATGCAGATGCGTTGTCACCCGTGAGGACTAAGATGGAATGCCTCTTTCACACTAAAAAAGGGTCTCCGGTTCTCTACTCACCATAAGAAACACAGCAGCGTTAAGTTGCTATTTTACGCTGGTATTTTCACTGGTAGAGCAGACCCATTCGTGCTACAACTACACAATTAATATAGATGAAGCATGGCTCTACCATGTTAACAATTTAATGTGACAGCGTTCATTTTACATCAAATTGTTAAATAGTCCGTGTGCTCGTTATTTAATTAAAAAAAAGAGGAGGAGAGGTTTACAATTTTACTTTATATTTTTTATCAGTGTTTTTTGGAGGCTTTGTGATTTTAAACTCGATGAAAAGAAATAATTTAAAATTAAAAATTTTGTACAGCTGACTTCAATATAAGTTATTAAGAATAACTCAAAAACTATTGGTCTGACCTTGATCAAATTCATACGGGACCACACGAGAAGTACCAGCTTTCAAATAAAAAAAGAATCATCGAAATCGCTTCACCCAGTAAAACATACACATAAAAAAAACATACAGTCGAATTTAGTGCCGTCTCCTTTTTGGAAGTCTGCAGAAAAGGACACTAAAAAAAGACAAACATAATATACATCTATAAGATTTAGCCTGCGAGAGAATGAGATAGAAAACCGTATTCAGTGTTTTTATTTCGATCTTCTGTTCTGAAGATTTCACTTCTACCGCGTGTGAACTGCACAGAGGTCTTTTATTTTTACATGAATGCTATGCGATATCGTCGTCAACTGGGGACAAATTTTGATGATTCTATTTATATTAAAAAGGTTATTCTTCCGGTCTTTAATGGTAAGGGTGACAAAATAGGGGATGAAGTTTTTAATGAAATTATTTAAACATCATTGAGATGATGATATTCTTTATTCCACTCAGGAGGGTAAAAAATAACTTTAAAAAAAAAAGTAAAAGCAGACTTCAATAAACTTAAAATAATAAAATAATTTGGTTGTAATACTGTATGGTTGTGATGAGGCAGCATTATTTATTACAAAAATTGCAAGTAATGATGGACAAGTTCGCTATCCTGGAACAGAGACGTATCAATTGTTCGAGACCACTACATCTTCACAACAACCGCGTCCACACACTAAGCACTGGACTGTCCCAAAACTATATAAGCTTCGTCTGGAAACTCTCCACCATCCAATGTACGCGTCCTCCTACTGATTTATATTTATATATTTTTTAAACACGTCTGCCACGCCTGGCAGGTATGGCAAATATCCCTCCTATGAGGCGATCTATGAGGGAGTTTTTATTTGTTAATTAAGAAGACGTGTCTAACTATCTCCTGGTTAATTTCCGTCTTCCGCCTCTTGCGATACCCACAGGACGTTATGGGATATTTATTATTACACCGTCACTACACGGTAGATAATATGATTATAATACTATTATTATCTGACCCAGTGTTGATAGTTACATTACAAAAAGTTACATGCTATAATAATTTTTTATACTTACTTGAATAAAATTTTACTGATATTATCGCGATTCATTTTAACTTTTTTGGAGCGAACATGTATGCTGTAAAAGTGTCCGAAACGTCGGGAATTAAAAAGTTAAAAAACACAATAAAATGCGTAACATTAGTTTTACTCCACAATTACATGTGGTTCTGTCCTTAGTTCTAAAATAGTTCAGTGGTAGTGGTACAAATGCTAAGAGAATTTCGTTATAAAAACCTTCATTACCTGGAAAAGCTGGGGCGTTTTCTGTACGACAAGAGTATACATTTCTGTTAACTGGGTCGCCATTTCCATTGAGATATCTTCCACGGTGCACACACGGTGTATTAGCTCCTCGATAAACATGTTGACCAATGTTGCCATCAGTCTGTAACATTGCAACACAAAGTAAATGATATCTCCCTAGCCGATTTCAATCACGACAACTTACAAACGAATCCATCCAACGCGTTCGGGAGATTACGACACATCTCCTCGTCAGGTATACCTCAAAACTTGAAAACAAGATTATACAAGTAGTGCGTGACGTCCTTCACTGGTGGCTGATATTGTCAAAAATCAGTGTTAGATTGTAGAAAGCAACGTTTGTGTTCTACAAAAAAAAAAACTAATCTTCTCGCCTGCTCGCAGGCGACTAAAGGAGTTACGGAGAACTGACCGTTACTTAGTGTGCAATGTATTAAGGCTGCGGTGCTTGTCTAATATTGTTCACAGACGTCTTTGTAAATAGGCTGCTTTTTCTCAAGGCGCCAATGTAAACCTAACCAAAAAAGTATTTAATCTATAAAAATAAATAAAATTGAAGTGTCTGTTTGTAATGTCAAAATTGCAGCTTTTTACTACATGCATATGAAAGTATATACGGTACTTATAACAAAAATACAATTTTGAAATTTTTGTCTGTTTGTTTCGTCTAATCTCCGAAACGGCTGGACTTTCACTGGCAGATAGCTGATGTCATAAGGAGTAATTTAGGCTATTTTTATTTTAGAAAAAGAATTAGGGTTCCGCGCAAAAAAATTAAAACCCCGAATAACACGCGAGCGAAGTCAAGGAGAACAGCTAGTACTAATTATAGCATTTACCATTTACAGTGAAAATCTTATTTATAAAATTAAATCGGACAAATAAAAGAAGTTTACTGTACCTACCTTATGAAAACATTGCCTGGGAATACCCCTATCCAAACATTCTTGAGGAGATGTAATTGCCGCAGGCATTGCCTTATTGCTGCTTCTGCATTATCTCCGAGCACATCTTTTACCACAATACAGTTCAGATCTGTGAAACAACAATTACATAAACAAAAGACCTTGTTATGTAACTTAAAAATTATGGTTTGCAAGAAAAATGTTTACATGGTAGAGCCACGCTGCAGCTATATTATGGTTGTAGCACGAATGGGTCGAATCAACTGGGCAAGGATCACGCTCTCACAAAATACCAGCGTAAAATAGTAAGCTTAATGCTGCTGTGTTTCGTACGGTGAGTGTAGATAACCGGAGACCCTTTTTACTGGAAACAAGGTGCATTTTGACTGTTAATCGAGGATAGATGAAGATGTCTATGGGCTATAGCATCCACTTACTATCAGGTAGACTGTGTGCTTGTTTATCCCTCTAATACTATAAAGAAATACATTTTGCCCAATTTAAACACGTTAACCCATGGCGGTATGGAGGGTATTGTTGAGTTGCGTAATTCCATTAGTGTTCCAATTTCCTGATTTTAAACTAAAATCTAAAATAATCATTCGTACATACCCGATGACCGTATATTATCAAGAATCTGTTTTCTCTGTTGCTGCATGTGTATAGTGAGGTGTCGGTATCCGAGCTCGCGAAGTTTTGGCACGAGGTCTACAAAACTGATGGGATAGTCGAGCTCTCGACCTTCCATCAAGTTCAACCATTTATCCCCAAAAGTTTGCAAGTTATGTGCAAGATACATACAGTTGTTGTGAAACAGAGCTGAAATTATGAAAATTCAATCTACTCTCCATTTTTAGCTGCAAATTTTGAAAACACAAACTATATAAAGCCCTTGTATATATTTAGAGCCTTTGTACACATATAATCAAGTATCAATAGTATTTGATGTTGGACAACTTGGTCAAAGTCTGATAATATCTGAGTTTAAACCCAAACTTCACAATACCAAAAATTTTTGTACTTAAATATTATGTTCTAGACACAAATTTTAATATTTTAGAGTTTCAGCCCGATATTGTCTCTGAATACCGGCTTAAATCTTAGCACTTTTATCATTATTATTTTGTTTATTATATAGTTAGCTTTTAGTCAAGGTTTAGCATAACATAAATGTCTCGTTAAACAGATAGATTAATGAAAGCAGGGGGAGTAACTTCTCTCTGTTTTCTTATATTTACACGAAGACTACACATTAAACCAAACTAATTTTTACAGATTATATCGCGTTTAATTTTAACTTTTTTAATTCCCGACGTTTCGGGTGCTTTACAGCACTCAAGGTCACGGGGGGGGGGAACGCCCGCCATTACATTAGATTTGATAAACCACAAATCCTCGCAAAAGAACACCGATTCCTACCAAGGATAATTTGCGAGGCTATTGAAATTAAAAAACATCCTAATTTCAATAGAGAAGATGGATGGATGCTGCCATCTGCTTGGGATACTATAATTAATAAAATTAAATCCAAAGCCAAGTATACCACTGCTAGACTTCAAGATATAAGCTCATTCTGCGTAAATCGAACCAAAAATTAATATTAAAAAACTGAAAGTAGCCGGGCTAACTATGACATCGGGACGTCAACCATCTCAGTCCCGCCCGTGACCATGAATGCTGTAAAGCACCCGAAACGTCGGGAATTAAAAAAGTTAAAATTAAACGCGATATAATCCGTAAAAATTAGTTTCATTTAACTTCTCTCTGTAAATTTTAGGAGACAAAAATAGTACCATCTGGTCACATAAAAACAACATTTTTGTTTTGTAAGTACAATAAAATGTGAAACATTATAACAAAATATTTTGTTGTTGATGCAAATTACGATAAATATTCTAAGTTAAAGTAAAAGAGGGAAAACAACTTCTTTTCAAAATTACAAAAGTCAATGTATACTAACCAACATACTGTGGAATATTTTGAAGATAGTTTTCATGATGATATGGAACAACAGCATCATAAAGTTCAAAAATCAATCTTGCTGTATTATAAAGCTTCTTGCATACAACATCTGAACACTGCACTGCCTGTTCCATCACTACGTATACGAGATCAAGGATCTCCTGAGCTGACTTTGATATCATACACCGTGGAAAGTAAAACAAACTTTTTGGAATAGTTTTATGAAGTACATCTAATGCTTGTTCTGTTGTTTCATCATTAACTGCAGTAGCATTATTATTAGGGTTCTCTGGAATGCTCTCTACTCCTATAGACATAGAAAGGCTCAAATCTTTAAACATAATGGACCGAGCAGTCTCTAAAAAGTACTGGCTCGATCTACTGGCAAATAAAACATCAATATTATTTACATACTCGAGTATCGAGAATTCGTCATCAGAAAAAAATTTCACTATGAATAGAAAATGCTGGAAATCTCGTATCTCTGTAGTGATCTTGCCATATGTTTGTAGATCATTAATATTATTTGGTATAGTGTCAATTAAACAATCTTGGACTAATACATCTTTAAATTCTGAACTTATCTGCCTTCCTACCATTGTCATAATAGTCTCCTCTGTTCTACCGACTTGTATATTTAATCTGTCGCTTAGATAGTGAAACAGCAAACGCAAATTTGCAATCACCTCATCATATGGTGGTTTATAGTTTTGTTTATAATTGATTGTAACATTCATCAACTCGTCTGTTTCAGCATGTACAGTGCAGTGGTAATGTATTATTGGTTCTAGGACTTCTTTGAAGAGAAACTGCGAAAACTGAGAAACTTTTTCTTTAAGCTTATTGCACTTATATAACGCGCTTAGTACATCTAAAGTGACTAGATCACTATCCAAGGTCAGTGTCATAGTAATAACATTTTGTTTAGGTCCCGGCGTATTAGTATAAGCAACCATTCTATCCCATTCTTGAAACATATCATGAACTAAGTTATCTAGGATTAGCTGTGCTGTATTCTTTGTACTTTCGAAAAGTTGCAACTGCTGGACACCTTCTGCGGGGTTCTCAATATATACCAACAGATCAGACACTGCTTCCACAGCTTTAGAAAAACTTTGAACTTCCCTGCCGACATCAAATTCCTTAACATACTTTCCCAACTGGAGCACATCACCAATAATGTTTAGAGTAAAATTCACAGATTCTAGTTCCTTAACAATCATATCGTGGTTTTCAATCGATTTGAGAATTTCAGCCATAGTTTCCTGCTCTATCTTTTGCTTACATACTTCCATTTCATCTACTAGACCTTTGCTTTCTGCTGCAAGCTGCCTTCCTTCATGTAATATTGATGCTAGATCAAAGTCACTGCTTTGCAGGAATGATCTCATTTCGGCTTTGAGATAATCTATTTCCTTTGTTATGAGAGGAATTTTATCAGATGGCTTCCAGTTTGTTTCATTACTGTTAATTACTGTGGACAATGCCTTATCTACATCATATTCTGCCATTTTAGTATTTTCTCTTAGATTTATCTTTTTTAATAGAAGTATCTGGTTTATGGTCTCTCTTTGGAGATTTACTATAAGATCTATATGAGCTCCTGTGGCTTTTACGAGAGCTATGATACTTATTTGAGCTCACAGCATGCCTAAGGGTATTGACTAGGAAGCGTTTATTGGCCTTTGGCTGCGACGCTTTAACCCACCCGGAAGGACCAACTATTTCTGCCCTTGCAGCTCCTTGAACTGCTTCTCGCAATAACTCTTCTACTGCTAATCTAGAAACAATAAACACTTTTTAAATAGAAGTGAATAACAGAATTAGATACTAGAAAAATAATAATAAGAAAAAAATTTTTGATCTTAAATTTTCAATAAGAAAAGCAGAACACATCTTTGTGGTATAAAGATGTGGTCAAAAGCCCCTAAAGCTTTTATAAATAGAACACGATTATCAGATGTATTAAATAATAACTATATAATTGAAATCTTGCAACAATTCTCCCGAAAATCTCTGTTGATTTTAGGAGATTAATGAAAAAAATGATCTCAAAAATCTGTCCATTTATGGTGTAGTCATTGACCTACTAAGAAGTAGGTCAATGGTCTTAGTAGTCCAACAAAAAATAAGTAGGTTTTGGGTCTTTCTAATTCCAGCCAGAATCAATACTGTGCAAAACATTAGTTCAAAGTCCAAAGTCAAAATACACTCATTTGCAAAAAAAATACGGACAGCTTTTATTTGTTTTTGCCTGAAAAAATAATACAATAAGAAAAAGGTTCTAATCATTTGAACATGTTGCTGACCGGTTATAAAAGAGAGAAAACAACGTATTTACTACATTTTGTGGTGCAAACTACAGAAATTTAGTTTTGAATAAAAATGGACTAAACAACTTCCATTTTTATTGAATTATTATCTTAGTTCCTTGACATTTTAAAGTACTGTAATTAATGTCTAGCATTTTAAGTGATAAAAGCCAGCAAAATTATTACGCTCCTTGAGGAGGGTTGCAGCCAAAGCTTAGTGGCTCAGAGGCAAAATAACAATGGCAGAAAAATAGTTTACTAAATTATTGCATCTAGAAATAATTTCTATATAAAATGAGTTTTATGATTTTTCAAATAAAAATGTATTTTAATTAAAGCCACAGAAAGAAACAAACATTTTCGGGAATATCAAATGACTAAATCACTTTACTCAAGTGTTGCCATTTACTTATATTCATACTATTATATTGTATACACTTTGTAAGACTACCTACCAACACAACACACAAACACAAAATATTTTTATATTAAGTTATTATTAGTAATAACTATACTATCAGTAATAATAAAAATAAAAGTAATATGTTTGAAAATAAGTCTCTTACAAAGAACTTCCTATAAAATACATTATCTCAATCATAGTACTATGTAACAATGCCATTTAATGTTATGGTAACACTAGCTAAAACAAAATGTCACTGTTTTTTTTACTGGCTTTACGGCTCTGGGTTCTAGCCCTTCTGAGAATATCACTGTATAACACAGAGGCCCTGGAGCCATGCCGGAAATATACATTTATAGAAGCAACTATATAATAGAGATACAATAATCTAAAAACTCTCACCTATGTAGGTAGGTACATTATGTTGAGAATGTATTAAGCTAACATCAACCAACCACAGGACGCATGACTTTTTCCAAGTGACATAAGATATAACTTAAAAAGGTTCAAATCTAAATATCTTTTTTTGACGCCTTCTCAGGACAAAAATCTTTGACAGAGTTATTAAGGGACTGACGCTTAATATTTTAAGATATTTTTGATATATAGACACTACCATTCCTTCTCAACTAATTTTATGTATGAAAGTCTGCCATTGTTCTTTGGGTCATTCGACAGTTCCAAGGACCTGGCAGCTCTATCAAGAGGCCAGTTCCGTCAAGAGAAAGCCTGGTTCTGGAAGAAAGCTATGTGTCGAACCTCGGGATGATAGTTTTCTGGTAAGTCAAGCATTGAGAAATCGAAAATTTTTGTATGAGGACCTTAAGAACAACCTCAAAGAATTACGAAATGTGCGAATTAGCCTATGGATGGCCAGGCGGAGACTTCTCGCTGCTAAGAACAAGAATGAAAGAACAAGGCCACCACACTTATGCTCCACACCTTTGGAATAGTCCCACCATGTATGACAGAATTAAAGAGCTTCTGAAGGACTTCAAGTACCGGTTTTCCACCTCCTTTCAGAAGCTCCGCTGTAATTCAATCCTCACCTAGGGTCTTGCCGTTTTTAAGGTGCTGGAAGCCATTCTAATCTCGCTCAGACTGACGTCTGGGATATCATCAAAATATTGTCAGATAAGACTTGCTCTTGGATTTGTACTCACACTTGCGTGTGGCTCCAACCATGATGTTTACACTTGGCCATAGAATCTCTCAATCTCACTCATAATCTCAGGTGTCCCAGAAATGATGCTGCCACACTCGGCCTTCAGCTTCAATAGTTGGTCCTTTTTGGCAGACAGATCTGTGGCAAAGACTTTGGAGCCATGGTTCTGCTCAATCGCTTCTTCAATACATTCATTCATTTCAATTTCATATATATGAGCTGTATTAAAGTTACATAATTCCTGTGGCATGTATTTGGAGATCTGTCTGGTCAGTTACCTGTGTGCTGTCAAATCTGCTTAAGACTGCAGCTTCATTTCCCGTCTAACAGCCATGAGATTAAGAGTGTGATCGGACAGTTTTTGTGTTCTGTGTGTCTGCGGCGGGTCTTGCAGAACTTAGCTCCAACTACATGGACAGTTTCCACAAGCTTGTCATGCATAACGTCCGCTACAGTGTGGTCTTCTAGGCACTGAAAGTAGTTTTTTAACTCGAGCCGAATGGTTTTGGGACTTTGGATTAGAGTATGAGGGGGACAACGCTCTGTCCCCCTCATGGTCTAATCCAAAGTCCCTTCCCTAGACTTCATGTCAACGCTTCATCAGTCCATCAGTGCAGTTAATTATATTATCAAAATATTGTCTTAAAATTGTGTGTGTGCATTACACTAAGAGAAAATAAGAAAATATAGTAAAATAAATAGAGCAAAATATAGCATTTAAAGCTTCCAAATAATCAGAATCTATTAACTGTGTAGGTAATATTTTAGTACCACAATGTATGCATAAACATATATAAGCATAAGAGACCTAGTCTACCCATATCCAATGCAGCTTATGAAATAAATGAAATAAGATTAGTAATAAACTAACATACAGTATCAGAGAATAGAAATGTTACACAGCATAACCAGAAGCAATAGAAAAAAACTCCTATTCTGCCCAGGAGTCCATCTGCCGCCAGACAGCAATGCTTGCACTACTGTATTCCAAACTAAGAATACATAGAGCCAATAAAATTAAAGCTCTAAGGCATTCCTTATTGGTCCTCAGAGGTGACAAAGCATATGTTTGTACCTATATGTTTATGAGTATATCTGTATGTAGACGTCTTTTTTTATTCAAAGTATATTACAGGTGTCCATCGCTGTAACTTACCATCGGTTAGACTGCCAGCTTGTTTTTCAGTTTAATAATAAAAACTACCTTTGACGATTCTTGGCTCAACCTTTAATTCGGAACCCAGGATTGGCCAGGTCCTCTTGACTACCGGACCAATCGATAGGCAAATGCATTTGATGATACTTAAATATAAAATTGGCTTGTTACTTTTGCGGACTTCTATTGTCTTGTATAAAAAGTTTTTGGGTTAAAGTATATATTTAATGCACAATGTATTAAGTGACTACAACATTATACATACTTCTCTAGAGCTTCGTCGTCTAATGGCTCAGTATCGGGTTTTTTGGTAGCATCTTCGGTATCTGTCATAGTTTGGATAATGTGATGTCAAATACAAATTTTCCAAATAATTCGAAATCGGCGATCACTGAACTCCAGGCATTTTTGCAATCATTTGCTAAATATTACAAATTATTTTGTAGCTTTGCACTCGATATTATCAATAAATCTATTTGACATTTGACAAACGCAGTGCTGCCAACACTTGATGCTTCCCCAAAAATACGATAGACGTCGAAAGCCTTAAGCTGATGGTAAAAGTATCTTAAAATAATGTTAAGTTGATAAAAACGACTTAATATTATAGTGGCAAAGTGTTTGGTTGTGGAGCTCGTGACTACGTGTTCATATCCTGCAGCAAATCTGGTTAAAACTTATCAAAGTTCAAAAAAGAACTCTTAAGGTACACTACCCAGATATCATAACTAGCATCTTTTACGCTTATTGCGACAAGTTATACAATTATAAAAAATTGCATACTTACATTAAAAGCTTATAAAATAATTTAAATGCATAATGTAAGGTAAGTTGGGATCATTAAAAAACCTCTCGTCTTGAAATACGGTGAGTATCACTGTCTGATTTTTAAACAGCAAATATTACTTACTACTTTAACATCCTACTAAACATATAATTTTATCTTATAGTTTGACGTGATTTCATTGCATATTGACCCAGGTTTCCAACCAGTTTGTAGTTTTGTGGTGAGAGAGCAATCACACACAGGAGTCAAAAGTAACTGTCGACTCTTTTCTAATATTACATATGGTACACACAACTTATATTAAATTATATAATATATTTTGAAGCGACAGTAGTTTCATGGTAAGGTGCTGACCGCTTATAGAAAATTGGTTGGATCGAATCCGTTATTCGATTTTGACGAGTGTGGTACACGTCAGAAATCGATCTATCACAAGTATACCTGCACGGCTAGCATGGGCTGGGGGGAAAAAATTTATCCCCCGATTATATCCACTAACAAGGGATAAAATTATCTTGTCCTTATGCCAAAGCGTGACAAAGGGGAGAAGTATATCCTCCCCTTTGTCATGCTTTGACAAAGGGGAGGATATATTTAGGGAGTAGACATATATCCCCCGTCCGTAGCATGGAGCCAAATGAAAGATAAAAAGTTAAGCTTTTTTGACATTTGAAAGGAACAATTTTATCTTAGTTCATTGAACGTGGGTTTAAGTTTATATTCATACAAAAAAATCTATCTAAGTCTAAGTCCATTCTCCCATTTTATCTACTGTGGATATTATATCCACCGGTGTGCCCATGCTCGAAGGATGGATAAAAATAAAAATAAACGTTTTCTCCTTTTCCCGGGGATAAAATTGTCTCTTCTCCATGCTAGCCCTGCTGGAGTCATCAAGGAGCATATTAGGAATGTCAATAGCATTACTAGTATTTTTATTTAAAAAAAATATGTTAAAATTTACGGCTATTGTTATAGCTAACACAACACAGAACAGTGTTCTAAAAAGCTTTCTACACAATTTACGAATGGGTTCATGTTTAAGCTTATAGTTTTACACCTCTGAAATTAACATTGACATCTTATTGCGCAAAACTGTAAAGACTTATACAACACTGAACAATAACTAAAGTAAGTTACTGTTCTGAGCAACAACTTTATATTTTATTTTTATATTTAGGGAAAAAATCCTTAAGCTGGCTACCTAGTGTGTCGTGTTGATCGAAATCACAGAAAACAATTATAAGTACTCTACCTAAAGATCGAAATCAAATCAATGAAATGCGTTCTGATTTTTTTCCTGTTTTCTGTTTACCTAGTAACTGCAACATTTTTAGTTAGTTAAAAGAAGTGCCTTTAGTTATCTAAATAGATTAATGGTTTTATTATAAGTAGTGTAACAAAGATTGTTAAAAGGGAACATATCATTTTACAAAATTACTACAATTCATCGCTAACGCCGCAAAGGGGGCTGACCTCTATTTTTCAAAAAATTATAGGAGAGCAAGAAAACAATAATTTATTATTCCCCGATTACTAGCTTTTTTTCATCAGAAAATTAATCTTATTTGTAGTTTTCCTTTAAGTCTGATATATTTAATTTTCTGATGAAAAGGAGCTAGTAACCACAGAATAATTAAATTTTTTTTCTCCTGTAATTTTTTGAAAAATTTAGGTTCGCCCCTTTGCGGCGTCAATGACGAATTATTAGAAGGTAACGTTAACGATAAACGCCACTGAAATGAATTTAAAAATATGGCAACTCAACGCACGCAATTTGAACGCGTGGAATGAAACGTCAGCCACGTACAAATCTATTTCAATGTAACATTTCACTTTTGGCAAAGATTCATTCGATTTTTCTGTATTAATTAAGTAACTATAAGGTGAGACTTAAAAGCTTTATTTGATTTTTATTTATTAAATAGAAATTAGTCTTTTTACTTATTTCTTACGAATGAAATCAAATATTTTCATTCAATATTTTTATAATTAAGTGTAAAAATCATACTGTGTTATTTACCATATAAATTTCTATTTTTTAGACACAATGGCTGCGAAATTATTATCACTCCTCCTCCTTATTGCTGCTGTAGTGACAGCAGATGAAGAAGCATCAGTTGCAAGATTGTTAGTATCCAAACAAGTACTAAACAAATATTTGGTAGAGAATTTGGATATTCTCGTGAAGTACACACTCTACAACGTCGGAACTGCTCCTGCGGTAGACGTTAAGCTTGTGGATAACGGTTTCCATCCTGAAGTGTTTGCAGTTGTTGGTGGACAACTCACTGCACATATAGACAGGATACCCCCCCAAACTAATGTGTCGCATGTAGTCACTGTGAGATCAAACAGATATGGCTACTTCAACTTTACTGCTGCAGAGGTTACATACAAGTCTAGTGAAGATGCTACTGAGGTAAGACAAAATCATATCATATTATGTACTATTTGAAAAGATAGTGTTGGTGATCTAAACTATATGAATCAATAAATCCTTAATTTAGCTTTTAAAACAAATCTATAGTGATTTTATAGTTCTTGTATGATTTTGGAGGCGATGCCTTCTAGATTATCATACTGGGTTCTTAAAATATTTATATTGAAAAAATAGTCTTGTGCCATTTTTAAAATTGTTACATACTAGGTCATTCTGATAATGAAATAGTTCCAATAGATTATTCGGGTATAAGGTTTTCCTCAATTGTTTATCTGATCTGTTATATCTACAAGCACAAAATTGATATATGTACAATTCGAAAAAAGAACCTGTGAATGTCACACAACATTGTAGAATTAACTTTTCTTGTTGCCTATTATTGAATTAACTAACAATTAAATTTTGTAAAGGCAAAAGTACTATCCCTCTCTCTGTTATCAATTGCATAAAAGTTACAGCCTATAATACGTCCCGCTGCTGGGCATAGGCCTCCTCTCACCTCTGAGAGAGTTTTAGGGCAAGGGAGTGTCCACCTCAATGTGTATTGGTGGACTTCACATCTTCGAAATATTTTTTTATTTCTCAGATATGCAGGTTGCCTGACAATGGTTCCCTTCAACCGCCGAACATGTGGTAAATCAACACTTAAAATTGCAATTAACAATTCATTGGTGCCAGCGGGGATAGATCCCGGGTTGCTTAAATACTGAGAAATTTACAGGGAGTGCTAAGCCCCAGAGCTACCATAACTTCCTCAATCAATTGCATTGGGTCCAATTTGTGGTCACTTGGGTTTAAGTACCCTGTGGTATGTTAGTGGCTGTGATATAAACACTATATACAAAGAACCTTTTAATGTTTAAAACCCTCTTAAAAATCTATCTACCTACTGTCACGAAAAAATAAATGTTTATTAAACTACCAACAATCTATTAACAAGTGACTTATGGAGCCACCTGGATGGTTCTCAGCTACTGTTTTCCAGAATTCCCCCATCTGAAGACTGTGTAGATTGCTAGTATAGAATAAATATAAACCAACCTCAATTATACATTACTGAATAATTGCTTACATTTTAAAAATGTGGTAGAGCCACACTGCAGCTATATTGTGGTTGTAGCACGAATGGGTCAGCTCGACCGAGGAAGGACCACACTCTCACAGAATGCCAGCGTAAAATAGCAGCTTAATGCTGCTCTGTTTCATATGGTGAGTGTAGAGAGCCTGATACCCTTTTTACTGGAAACGAGGCATTCCATCTTTGTTCTCAGGGGTGACAATGCATCTGCATTTAGATTCTTAATTGAGGATAAATTTAGATGTCTATGGGCCATAACATCAACGTATCATCAGGTGGACTATGTGCTTGTTTGTTACCCTTTACTATTAAAGAATCAGCAAAATAAGTTAACATACTTACTTACAGCCTAGTCAAGTTGATAACCATACTCCTCTTTTGGAAGTTGAATTAGCCACAACATACAACCAATATGTTGCTAATAAAACATGCTGCATGCTGTAACATCTTTTGGGAATGTAGGGATAATATAAAATCAATGAATAATGTAATATTATGATGTATTGTTTAAAATGAATGATTCTTCACTTGTAACTCGCATCATAAGTTTGTTTTCTCACATGTTCATGAAATTTTATAAAAAAATATATTTTACCAACAAGAGTAAGTTTTTACAGTGGTTGTACTCACTCTCCATAAAAGTGCATCTTGTAAACATGTGAGGTCTGCACTATAACCACTATAACCAGCACAGTCCATTATCACCTTAAAACTAATAAGCCAGCTCTTCTTGACTGAGACACAGATCAGATATCCTTTTGATACAGGGTACATTGGCTACCTGGGTACATACATACTAGAGCATAATTTCCAAAATCCTAGTCTGTATGTCTGCAAGTGCAGTGTTTCTGTCATTTTGAATAATCCACTTTCACCACAATTTGAGTATTAATATCATCCCATTTACTAAACCCATCAGTGGTAAAGCTCTTCCATGGTTTAATGCAGAATGTGCCCGAGCTGAGAGGCACAAGCATATCCCGCCAAGCTCCAGATGCTAGCCACCATTAAGAGAGCCTACCAAGAGCTAACTGAACAAATCAATTATTGTAAAAGTGCATTGTGGAAACCTAGCCTTAACTACATTAATTAAATCAGTGCAAAGCTCTGCCACTGCTAGTCTACACTGGCGAAACCACTCCACTGGCTCACTGGTACTTATAGCTAGAGAAAAAAACAGACTTGTTTGCTTCTATTTTTATTTTCAATTTGCACCTAGACAGTGGCAATGGGTATTTTAGTTATACTATTTTCCAAACCTCAAGTAAGAGTGATTCATTGAAATTAATGCCAGAGCAACTGCAAGGAAACTAGATGTCCTTGCAAGAGTGTGGTATCACAAGTTGGGGCAGCTCCTTGTCTAATATAAAGTGCAAATCCAGTCATGCATAGTGTATCTGTCTCATATGTTATGGTGCTGCAAAATGCCACCTAAAAACGTTGGACTCAATGGAGAAGAGCTTATTGGTGACCTTGAATTAGTTGAAATCACTCTTTTCTGGAGATAATCTGGAGAGAGTGCACAGGAATGTATGCATTTATTCCTCCCTTCCCTTTCCACCATCATACAATCAGAGGTTTTCACCCTCTTTATTGTCAATATTAGTACAGCATGGGAGTGGAATAATTTGCAGAAATCTCTGTCCTTTTTTTGTACAGCTGCCCAGATTGAATTACCCATTATTTGGGATTATACCAAGCTCTGGCTTTATAATAAGTAAAAAAAAAAAAACAAGATGCTTATATAGATCCTCTTCAGTTTATACATTGAGTCTAAGACAAAGCTAGCAATAAGAAAACTTAGTAATGTCACCAAAATTTAGTTGTTACTTCACCAAGGATCAGCCACTTAATTACTATCAAGGTCACATCCTTTATTTTTTAGCGTATTGTTGTCTCATTCAGGTTGGTGCTGCTCAGTATCAATTGGTTGTCTTGAACTCATTGATTAAACAATAAACACATATACAGAGATGATTTTTCATATTTTGATGCTAAACTGCAATCTCAAGCGAAGACATATAGTTTACTAATGTACTCAACAGGCATTTCTGAGAGTGTACACAAGATTTCCACTCTTTAATTTGTCTATTGCCTGTTAGATACAACATGCATGAAACAATTACAGGTCTTAGCAGATTAAATATGTTTTCACCTTAATTATATTTCCGTAAATTAATGCTTTATTACATAATAACCTTAGAGCTTGTATTAATCCACTGTATTTTTGTATTTCAGGTACAATACTCTATAAGCAGTGCTCCAGGCGAAGGCTTGATCGTTGCATTTAAAGACTATGATCGCAAGTTCTCTTCACACATTATGGATTGGGTTGCATTTGCCGTTATGACTTTACCGTCACTTGCCATTCCCTTTGGACTGTGGTACTCCTCAAAGAGCAAATATGAAAAACTCGCTAAGCCCAAGAAGACACATTAGTTAAGATCTTAGTTAAGGTATATTTAAGTAAGTTATGGTAATGATTGCTAATGTTGTGAATTGAGTAATTTCTGTGTTGTACTCGAATTACGGCAGAGCCCGAAAGAAGGGTAATAATATCGATCAAATACAATAAATACACTGCTCCCTAAGGAGAAGGAAAAACAGCATAAAGTTCGCATTAAAATGATACTCCTTTTTAATTATTTTTTCTTAGGCAATGGATTCGCACGATTGTACTTTTGTCAATGTCAAGTTAAAAGTAATAATTTTTTATAATTATTTGTTTGAAAACTACTCCAGAATATGTTGAAGTGGCAAATGCGGAGTTTTTGTGAGATTTCGATGACAACTTAAGCCCGTAGGTAGGCCGATGATGACAGTATCTCAAGAGTCAAGGTGCAATTGTTTCATTATTATCACACCACGTTAACGTATCAAAACTCCATTTCATACCATTATTTAAACAGGAATACAAGTAGGTTTAAAAAAAACTTCCGCAGTACTAGTAGAACAGGTACTTATACTCTTTGTGATTTTTCTTAGTTCAATGCAACACTAAGTACGCACAACATTAGTAATGATTAATTTCATCGTTTCATTAGTTATGTCATCTACATATTTGTTACGAAATAATTTATATGAAAATTAAAAGAATTAGCACACAAATGAGTTTTATTAAAGCGCCCATATGCCATATGATCTTTCTCTTTTTTCGAAAAAAAAAGAACGTCTACATTAGGATTTTCTCCTGTATCGTGAGGGCAATTTACAAACATAAATTGCACAAGGGCAAACATCTAGACCCGGAACAATTATTTGTAGGCCATACAAATACTTGTTTCGTGCGGGATTCGAACCCGTGCCCCCCAGCGCAGCAACTCATTGCTAAGCCACTGCGCCACGGAGCCGTCATATATATTTAGAGAAGTTGGTTTGACAGAGGATGGAGACCAAGGTGATTGTAATGATGTCACCTTCCTTATGGTGAACTCAAGGTGGGTAAAGGATCTCAGTGATGCTACTAAGTAGAATCATCGTGTTTGGACTCATTTTCAAATAGGTAAATGGAGACCTAGATGACTGTAATAATATCACCTTTATGTTGGTGCAATCCGAAGGTGGGTATAGGATCTCAGTGGCGGCACTAGATAGAACGATCGTGTTTGAGCTCCTTTGAAAGGGCTCATAAAGACCTAGGTGACTGTTATGAGCTCACCTTTCTGATGGTGCAATCCGAAGGTGGGTATAGGATCTCAGTGACGGCACTAGATAGAAGGATCGTGTTTGAACTCATTTGAATGGGCTCATAAAGACCTAGGTGACTGTTATGATCTCACCTTTCTGATGGTGCAATCCGAAGGTGGGTTAGGATCTCAGTGGCGGCACAAGGTAGAACGATCGTGTTTGAACTCATTTGAAAGGGCTCATAATGATCTAGGTGACTATTATGACCTCACCTTTCTGATGGTGCAATCCGAAGGTGGATATAGGATCCCAGTGGCGGCACTAGATAAAACGATAGTGTTTGAGCTCATTTGAAAGGGCTCATAAAGACCTAGGTGACTGTTTTGACTGTTATGAAAACTCCCAAGTAGGTACAAAATTAGAAATCGACCATATATTTTATAGGCAATAAAAAACAAGGCAGAACGGAAAAAGCATAACCAACTACAACCAGAAGACGAAAATATCTGTGTACTTCAAGGAAACCTACAAGCACCATTGTTTGCTTAGTTTGGGCAACTAGGTGCGTGAACAACCATTAACACCAATTCCTATAAATGACCAAGTTACCTGTACTCAGTATTTAGAATTCAATGATTTTTGACTGATTTATTACACGGATACTAGACATTTAAAAACTTTACGGATTTTATTTAACTTATTTGAATTCGTGACGTTTGGGTGCTTCAACTTTATTTTGGTATGTAACACGTCGAGAGCTCAATTAGATAAACATAGAAAGCTAGGCCATCCTAACTATTTCCGTTACTGAAAATCGATAAGCATTATCTGATCATCATAAGACCTTCAGAATGTGCCCATGCCCACGGATTTTTTGGGCTCATCGTAACCGGAGTGCAAGTTAGTATCAGTGGGGTGTCGCCCGCTCTACAGATAGGTAATTTAATAAACAGATAAAAATAAATAACACATTTATTATGAATAAAATTATCATAATATCTGACCCATTTCTTAAGTGTCTTAATATTGACATTATCATGAATAAAAATATCTTTTGAAGTGTTAATATATAGGAAACGTTATTTATATACATATATACCTATATATGGAACGGATTTAATTTCTAGATCGAAGGCGCCGCAGCCGTGCGCGTTTAGTTGGCGTGACTCCTATAAATTAAAAATATAATTTCCTATCTATTAACTAGCTGTTGCGTGTAATTTATTACAATTGGATTTCATGGGTTTTAATTTTTTTGCACGGAACCCTAATTCCTTTTCTAAATTAAAAGTAGCCTAAGTTCCTCCATATAATATCAGTTATCTGCCACTGAAAGTCTCGTCAAAATCGGTTCAGCCGATTCGAAGATTAGCCTGAACAAACAGACAGACAGACAGACAGACAGAAAGATAGACAAAGATTTTAAAAATTGTGTTTTTGTTATAAGTACCGTATGTACTATACTGTAAAAACTGTTATTTTGACATTACAAATGGACACTTTAATTTTGTTTATTTGTATAGATATATATTAATAGACAGGAAATGATATTAAATAAGATTTAGATTTTATTAAATATCATTTAATTTATCTATATATATGATGATATTGTTTAGGCCAAATAATTAACATTTTAAAAACTTGTATACAAGGCGCGTTTCGGCGTGTCCTTCCGATGGAATTTAAAGGTCACCGTCGGCCCCCTCTCCCGTGCTGGTCTGTCGGCTGAGCGCTCGGTCGCCTGACGCGTGGGCGAGGTCGGTTATTTGGGCGCGCCCGCAGTGTCGATAAGACGGAATTTACTATCGAATATTTGGGTCTCGTTAAGACCGCCTCGAATTACGTTGTCTGTTTTGAGCGTTTTACGTGACAACGAGGCCTATCTTGAGTTTTGAGTAATTAACTTAACTTCGATTACCATTAATTTGCGTCGACGAGTTGCTTTTGTGGCATTTTAATATCGTACGAAGGAATTTTGCTTTGTCGGATGGAACGCTAAAACTTTGTGACTCGAGAAGAGATCGCGTTCATGCTCGTGGTTATAATTTTGTGCTAAGTGAACCTGGGACATTGAACTTTGACCGACCATTCTTAAGTTGTGCAGCGTGTCGCTTGTTTTTGCGTTCCACCCGACAAAGCAAAATTAAATGGTTGCTCCTGTTTTATCGTTTAAATAATCGCTTGAAGTGGATTTTTATCAAAGTGATGAGATTATGTGTATTAAGTGTCTGCGCATGTGAGCTATTAGAGAAAACGACGAAATAAGTGCTTCGATGTTGGTATAATAAGCCTCAAATTATTTTAATCGCTTAGGCGTCTTATGATTTACTTCCGTGCTATCAGAAATAGCTGTTAAATATTTGATTTCCTCAGCTGCATCCGTAGCATCTGAACGAATTACTTCTATAATCAATATTTTAGTGCCCAATAATCGTAGTATTGAAACAGCTGAATATATGCGGGCTCCATTGAAGCTTCGCGTCTAGTGTGATTCCAAGAAAAATGGTAGTATCTACAAGACTCAGTATCTCCCCATTTAAAATTACATTAGTATTTAATTGTTTGACATTTGGAGTCATGAATTTCATACATTTCGTTTTAGTGCCATTTAAATGCAAATTATTAACATTGAACCAATTTACTAATTTAGATATAGAATTATTTACTTCGTCATATTTTAGTAGTTGTCGACTTAATTTGAAAATTAAAGAATTGTCATCTGCAAATAACACTATATCATGGTTATGCCCTACAATGTAAGGTAAGTAATTAATGTATACAAGAAACAGAAAGGGGCCGAGAATTGAGCCTTGAGGCACGCCCATTTGTACCATCGACCCGGAAGAGCTCATATTGTTAATGACAACTTTTTGCGTTCTCTTACTGAAATATGAAATAATTAATTTAAGAGCATTACTTCTTACACCGTAGTGTTGAAGTTTCCTGATTAATGTTTCATGGTGAACAGAATCGAAGGCCTTGGATAGGTCACAAAATAAACCCTAAGCATCCTGTGAATTCTCCCATGCATTAAAGATATATTTAATCAGCTCAACACCGGCATCAGTTATCGCGCGACCCCTTGTGAAACCAAACTGATTTTTATGATGTAAGCTATTTATATTAAAGAAATTTAACATCTGATCAAGTATAATTTTTTTCAAAAATTTTACTAAGTGTTGGTAGTACAGAAATAAGTCTAAAATTGGCGGGGTCTAATGTACTACCAGATTTAAATAAAGGTATTACTTTATTATGCTTAACTAAATCAGGAAACACACCAGATTCGACACTAGTATTAAAAATAATAGCTAAATGAGGCGCGATTGTATCTAATTATAGACGCAATAACTTTAACGGAAATCCCCCACAGCTCCGCAGTTTTCTTAACATCAATAGTTTTAAAATGTTTTACAATATCTTTTGATGATACATTATGAAATTTAAAATTCTTTGTACACGCATTTACATTTTGTTTAAAGTAATGATTCGGCGACGGCAGGAGAAGAATTCAGTGAGTTAGTGGTTAATATCGGAATATCAGTAAAATATTTCTCAAAAACCATTGCAACGTCCTGATCTGATTCAGTTAATTTGTTGTTAACACTTAACTGGTAGTTTGAATTGCGAGAGTTGATCTTACTAGTTTCGCTATTAATTATACTCCATGTCATTTCAATTTTATTAGAAGCCGTCTTAATTTTGTTGCTCAAATGCAGAGACTTGGCTGTGGAGCACACTCTTTTAAATATTTTTGAATATTTTTTTACATATTCCCTAAATTCGACGCTATGATTATATGACCTTTCATG